CGGCTTGGGGGGCAGAGACCCCCGCCCCAGCCCTCCTGCACAGACAGAAGCCCAGGACCTTCCCCGTGAGGTGGCAGCGGGTGTAAGTGGGACCTGGGGGGTGAAGTTGGCATCTTCTTCCCTTGTGTCAATGCTGGTGATGGCACCTGGACCGCAGTGTGGGGCAGATGCCCGACAGTGGGTACAGCTGGGAATGGGGATAGGGACGGGGTCAAGCCTTCCCAGACCACCAAATGCCTTAGGGATGCACTTCTGACTCATGACAGCCCAGCCAATGAGCCGCAGGCTGCAGCCAGTTGGGGCAGAGAAAGGGAACCCGGGTCCCGCCAGCTGTCACGGGGCCGGGGAGCAAGCAGGCCTCCCTGTGCCGCACAACCCCAGCCCGGACAGGAGCATCTCAACACAGGGTTAGGAGCCCTGCTCTTCCCCAAGATCCCTGAGCCCCGGGCCTGGGCCTGGGCGGGCAGCCCACTCCCGGATGATGCCTCATGCTGTGGTTCCAGCTCAGCTGTCACAGCACCCAGCCCTGGGGCCTCGCAAAGCCTGGGCCCATGGGAGCCTGCTCTGCTTGTTGCCTGGAGCTCACTGCGTTGCATTTTGCTCAGTCTCAACAGCCAGCACCGTGGGCCCCGGGTATCCTGCTGTAGGCACCACAGCCCATAAGCAGGGCCCCAAGCAGAGCTGCAGTGCCTGGGGGACCCACAGGCTCCAAGGCCCTGCCTACACAGCTCCACTATGAGCCCTGCCCCGGCCCCCTTTGCCCACGGGGCCCAGCCCTCCCAGCATGACACTGCCCACCCCGCTCTGCCTTCTGCAGGCTGCAGGCCTCACACTAGGATGCTGGGCCTGACCCCTGCCCCTCATTCATTGTGGGGACCAGGTGAGGCAGGAGCATCTCCTACAGGAGAAATGCAACCAAAAGAGGCCCCAGGCATTCCCCTAACTCCGCTCAGGCAATGCCAGTGTCACTGGAGCTGCCAAGGGCAGAGCCAGGCCTGGGCCCAGGCCCCACAGCAATGGCAGGCAAGAAAGACAAGACAGTGCACAACCCCACGGCAAAGCTGGCACCCGGGAAGGCAGGGGCAGTTCCAGTGCTCAGCGATGCCCAGCACCGTGCACCTTGTAGTCAGCATTTCAACAGGCTCCTGCTCCCAGTGGGGTCAGGAGGATCCCAGGGCTCCTCCCCTCCAGGCCAGCTCCTTAGAGCTGCCTGCGTCCCACCTGGTCCTGGCAGCACAGTCAGTGCCTGCAGTACCTGGCCGCCCTCCGTTCTCTCGTCTCCACGTCTGACAGCCCGGAGGGCTTTGCCGGCAGGCTGCTGCCCTGCCTCCCTTTCCTGCCTCCTGTCCCCAGACCCAACCCAGCTCAGCCCAGCCCAGGAGGACTTTCCTCCACCTCAACACAACCTCGGGGCAGTTCTCCAGAGAGCCCCCCACCCTCCCCATGTATGGATGCAGCCCCAGCTCTCACATGTTGGACGGCAGTTTCGGTTTCCCTGTTTCCATCTCTGGGCTGAAGGCCACAGAGCCCTTGCGGGAGGGGCCTGCTGCATGCCGGGGCGTGGAGACGGGGGACTGTGGGGTCGAGGCTCCACTCAGAGGCCGGCCGGGCTGAGCCGGCAGTCCTGGTGGTGCCTGCTGCGGCAGTGCTGGCTGCCCTGTGGCCCCCGGGGATGCCTTGGTGAGGAGTCCAGGTACTGACGGAGATGACCTGTGAGCCAGGTTCCCTGCCGACTTCCGGCCCGGCTGGGCGGCCCCTCCGTCCACGTGCTGGGAGATTTTATTGGGCAGAGAGGGCTGGGAGGCCGACAGCAGCCGGACATCCTGGGTGAGCCTCCCAACAGGCAGGCCTTGGATGCTGCGGTGCTTCACCAGCTGCTGTGGCTGCATCAGCAGGGAGATGTGGGAGCCAGTGGCTCGGGAGAGGCTGTAGTGGAGCGTTCTCCCGGCCAGAAGTGCCTGCTCGGTGCCCGGCGATGGGGCTCCCGCTGGCTGCTGCAGGAGTGAGGTGGAGGCCGAGGTGCCTCGGGACTTTGAGAGCTGGGGCTGGGAGCCTATCAGGGGCTGCTTTGCTTTGGCAGGTGGCTCCCCCTTTGGCACCCCCCTGGGCAAGGGCTGTGCCCCAGGGCCTGGTCTCTGTCCCGCGGTCTCCAAGGATGACTGGGACTGGACCAACGGGGAGGATGGCGAGCCGGCCGCCGGCGTGTGGATGTGGGATGGTGCCCCCGACGGGGAGCTCACAGAAGAGGGCCGGGAGCCCCCCAGACTGGGCTGGGACCGGCGCACCTGCCTGGGGAGCAGCACGGCCTCAGGTGAAAGTGGGCTGGCTATGGACGAGGGGGGCAGGAAGATGTGGGCCTGCAGACTCTGCTGGTGGGTCAGGGCAATGGCCACGTTGGTGGTGGCGGCGGCTGTCTGCAGCGGTGCGTGCACCAGGGGCTCCCAGATCACTGGCTTGCCACTCAGCTCCCGGCCCACAGCCACCTGCTGCAGGCCCTGGATGCTGCGCGCCATGTCGCGGTCATGCTTGACGATCTGCTGGACCATTTCGCTGTTCACAGGCCCCGAGCTGTGCTCTGCCCGCTTCCGCAGCAGGATGGAGTTCTTCTTGCCTGGGCAGAGAGAGGGCGCTGCTGAGGGAAGGGCAGGGCCATGGGGAGAAGCACTTGGGGCAGCGCCATCCCCACCATGTTACAGAAGGGAAAATGGAGGCATGGGCGAGCAGGGCGAAGGGCTTGTGGTCAAGGTGCCCAGGTTTCCTGGTGCAGTGAAGAGGGGCTGACAGACAGCCAGCTCAGCGCTTCCCAGCAGAGATCATGAAGGGTGGAGGAGGCTGAGGTCGCTTACAGCCCCTCCCCAGGAGCTGCCCTCTTTCCCCCGCCATGTGAGAGAAAGGGAAGCCCAGAGCCCAGCCAGGGCCAGCAGGGAAAGGTGCCCATCTTTGGGGGCACCCCTGAACCCAGGAGACCTGTGGGGCTGGAAGTGGGGCATGGGGGCCTCACCGATGCGGTCCAGGCGGTCCATGGCAACAGTCTCAAAGGCCCTGCGCATCATGGGGTATTCCTCCAGCACCTCGTTGAAGTTGTCCACAGAGAGCGAGTAGAGGCGGCAGTAGGTGTCAGCGCGGATGCTGGCTGTGCGACGGCCCCGCGTCAGCAGGCAGATCTCTGTGGGGGCAGCGGTGCATCAGAGACACAGCCCCACCCCCAGCCACTCCTGCACCCCCCTTCCTCCTATGGGAGCCACTTACAGAGTCGGGGAGAGAACCCAGGTGTCCTCACTGCCATGGCCCCCCCTGCTCTAACCACTAGACCCCCTACCCCCTCAAAGCTAGGAATTGAAGCCAGGGGCAGCATGCCTGGCAGATTTCCAAAGCAAGAACCTAGAACACATGGCAAAGGCATCAGCTGGGCAGGTGGAGGGGCCAGGGCCGCCTCTGCCCCCCTGAGCTGTGTTGCCTCTCCCTATCCCTCCCGGTGCCCAATCCAGCCTCACCACCAAAGTAGGAGCCGTCAGAGAGTTTGGTCTCCTTGTTGCCCTTGGTGAGGACGCTGACGACACCATGCTGGATGAAGTACATCTTCTTGCCCACAGTGCCCTCGCGGACGATAAAGTCGGCGGGCTGGAAGACCTCAAAGCGCAGCTTGGTTAGCATGGCTGTCACGAAATTGGGGTCGGCGTTGGCGAACAGCGGCATGTTGGCCACCAAGTTCCGGCAGTTGAAGTTGATGATTTCCTGTGGGAGCAGTGAGGCCACGGTGTCATGGGATCCAGGGCAGAATGTCCCCCCAGGGGGTAGTTCCCACAACAGTCGCCCCTGCCCAACCCTGGGAGAACAGCCCCTCCCTACCTCCTTGAGTGGCTCACTCAGCTCCCCCAGGATGTTCTCCTCGTCAAACATCTTGCCCTGGTAGCGGTGCTCATAGTACTCATGGATGCGTTGGCGCATGTCGCCGGGCAGCTTGTGAAATGACATGTACTGCTCCACCTGCTTGTACTGGAGGGGCAAACAGATGGACACAAGCTCACAGGGGTAGCTGGAAACCCTCTTCTGTAGCAGAACCCCTATGGAGGGGGCAGTGACCCCACTCCAGCCCCAGGGCCTTTGGCTCCATGAGGGTGGAGGGGCAGTGCCAGCCTATGGTCCTACCTACAGCCCTCCCCAAGTACCAGGGCCTGAGGGCAGGAGCTAGGAGCATGGCCAACTCCTATGATGACCAGCTGTGGGCACCAGGTCAATTTGTTCTGGACTCGTACCCCAGACCCCTCCCGGCAGTCCCAGGCCCATCTCCTGCCTGCCCCACGCACCTTCTCCTGGTACTGCCGACGGGAGGAGTCCAGTGACTGGATGAGGGCGGTGGCGTGGCCAATGAACATAGCGTAGCAGGTGGCACCCACGATCATGCTAAGCATAGTGAGCCAGACGTCGGTCATGCCCTCTGGGGCCTGCTGCCCGTAGCCAATGCACAGCATGTGGCTCATGGCCTTGAACAGGGCGTGCGAGTACTGTTTCCCCCATGAGTCATTCTGGAGACAGGAGGCACGGAAAGGAGGATGGAGCTGTGCCCCAGCAGCCCCCGCTACCTGAAAACCCAGGACCACCCACCTCCCAGAGCCACACCTTCTGGGCTGGGCCCCCACTGAAGCAGCAGGAGCCCCCTCCCTGCTCTCCCTTAGCACCTGGTGGGATAGATCTGCCCTGCTGGCTGCAGAAATGAGCCATGATCTCCCTCACTCCCTCCCACCTGACTGGCGCCCCAGGGTCACAGCAGCCTGCAGGACCTCTGAAAGCTCCTGGCTTGGGAGCTTAGGGCACATGTGTAAAAGTGAGCACGTGTGCACATGCCAAGATGCAAGCAAGAGTGTGTGCATGGGCAGGTGCTTTGGACTGGGGTGGGTGGGGAGTCTCCTGCCCTGGACCATGTGCAACTTCACCCAGGTGGGAGCTCCTGCTGGCAGCTGCAGAGGCCTGGGGCTGGGCTCCAGGAGTGGGGAAGCATGGCACTCACCACCATGTGATTGATGGAGACCCAGCAGTCCTCAGGGAAGTCCTGCAGCATGGGCACCAGAAACTGGAGGCAGCCGTCCCAGTGGCATAGCAGCAGCATCATGCCAATTAGGTTGAAGATCCGCACCACAGCGCTGGCCAGGTCATAAGTCATGTGGAAAATCTGGGCATGGGGGAAGCCGGAAGCAGGACAGTAAGGAACCAGTGCTCCCCAGGGCACCTGTGGGGAAGGGAAGAGCTCCCCCATCTCCAGGCACCAGGTCCCTGGTGAGCTCCAAACTTTGCAACCAGCGGCCCCTGAACTCCTAGCCATGGGGCCCCACTCGCCCTCCACCTCCCCCAGGCAGGAGCCCCTAGGATGCCCCTTGGCCCCTCCAGCTGGCTCCTGGCCACCCACCTCCTCCCACTGGTGGATGTAGCGGATGAGGCGAGAGAGGCGCAGCAGGCGCAGCAGGCTGAGGATCTTGGTGAAGCGCACAATGCGCAGAGCCCGCGCCGTCTTGTAGACATCTGAGTCCACCTGAGTCTCCAGGTCGACAACGAGGAAGATGTAGTCGACAGGGATAGAGGAGATGAAGTCGACCAGGAACCAGCTCTTAAGGTACTTTGTTTTGATGGTGTGGGGGTCCAGGATGATCTCTGTGTTGTCCTCCACTACGATGCCCGTGCGGAAGTTCAGTACCAGGTCGGCCAGGAAGAAGGTGTCGGAGAGCACGTTGAAGACGATCCAGGGCGGCGTGTTCTCGTCCTTGAAGAAGGTGATGCCCACGGGCAGGATGATCAGGTTCCCCACCATCAGCAGGAGCATAATGAGGTCCCAGTAGAACCTGGAGGGGGGCACAGAGCAGGGAGGAGAGAAGGGAAATGTCCTCAGAGCGGCTGGAGCCTCGGGGGACAGCACAGAGACGTGGCTCCTGCCACATGTCCAGGGTGCCCAGGGGAGGTGGCTGCAGACAGCCGCTGTCAGGGTGTCTCGGAGCTCCAGCCTAGCCTCTCCCCACAGCACCTGACTTCATGGGCAAAGGCCCAGCCAGGCCTCAACTTCCCGGCTCCATCCCAACCAGTCCTGCTATGCAGCCCGGGCTGGCCCCTTCCCCACAGGTCCAGTCTCTGCCAGGGCCTTGCCAAGGCCTTCCCCATCACATCCACAACCCTGAGCCCCAGCCCCCGATCACCACCTCCCTTGTCCTCCCCTGACCCCTGCCAGAGCAAACTACTGCAGGCTCAGGATCAGCACCTGCCTTTCTTGCAGCTACTAGGCAAACGTGCCCAGTCGTGGCTTGGAGCTACGGCAGCGTGCAGACAATGAAGACCAGGCCACATGGATGCCCTGCTAGCTCAGCCTCTGCTCAAACCCAGGAGCAGAAGGCCTGAGGAAGCTGCCCCCTGCAAGCCCCATGCAGATGAAGCTGCCCCAGGGGCCCTGAGCTTGGATTCCCTCTGGATCAGCCCAGATGAGTGTCCCAGAGGCACAGACACATCCCCACATGCCCTGGCTGGGATGATATAGTTGGGGCTTGTCCTGCTGTGAGTAGGGGCTAGACTCAATGACTCCCAAGGTCCTTTCTAGCCCTCGCTCCTATGATCCTATGCATCAGCCAGGCCAAGGTGCACAGGGTGACTCCTCTGCAGCTGCGCAGAGCACAGCCAGGTGCCCTCATGTGCAGTCACATGCACAGTGCCCCAGCTTCATGCATGCACGAGCTGGGACCTTAGGACACCCATACAGCCCCTTTCCCAGCTATCTGATACCTGCCCACTCCCATGCTCTCTTCCCCCAGACCCAGCCTGGTCTCTACATGCAGAAAGCAGTGGGTGCGAGTCAGGGTCCAACATGGACATGGTCACTTGGTCCCAACAGTAGCCAGGGGGCTGGGAGCCAGGATGCCAGGGCCCTACCCCTCGCTCTTCACTCCTCTGTGCCTCTGTCTTCCTCTCTGTAACCTGGAGCCTCTCACAGAGGCCCCAAGCCCATGAAGGGACAGGACCACCCTGTCACTGGTGAGCCCCAGGGCATCGGGAATGCTGCAGACACTGCGGTGGCAAAGGGGCAAGTAGGAAATGCTGATGCTACGTGGACGACATCCCTGCCTCTGCCCCGTGGAGCCCTGCACAGGGACAGGGAGCTCAAGCTGCTGGGGAGCTGGTGTGGGCGAGGCCCTGAGTCTCCATGGCAGCAGCAAGGAGGATTAGCCATGGCTGCCTCGGGACTGTGCCACAGGACTGCGTAACCTCTCCCACGCTGGGGCCTCGCCAGCCCAACAAGGGGCTTCCTACTGATTGCTCACCACCTGTCGGAGGACGCGACTGCTCAGGAGTCTGGCAGGAGAGGTTAACGCCACCTGCACCCACGTGCAGCCCTGATGGGCACTGGCCCCAGTCACAGCTCAGCCTTCCCCGGCAGTGCTGGCCTGGTCTCTCCTGCCCCAGTCCCCAGGGCTCCTGTCTGACGGAGGCTGCCAGCACTTCGGGGCTGGCTGCCTCCTTTTCTGCACGCACCACCCAGCGCAGGGCCCTGCTCTCCGCCGGGGCGTGGTGCCGCCGTAATGCATAATCCCCCCAGCCACACGCTGCCCGCCCCCACCCTGTGTCACTGGGTCACCTTCACCCTGCCGGGGAGATCACCTCGGAGATAACCACAGCTTAGCTTGTCTGGCACGTTACGAGGGGGTGCAAGCAGGGCTGCGGGTGCGCTGAGGCCGCCGCTGCAGCGGGATTAAGAGCCGGGGGAGCATCGGGAGAGGGAGGCGCTGGCGGCAGGTGCCCAGGCTCGCGGCTGTCTGGGAAGGGACACGAGGGGCAGGCCCGTGGCGAACGCCCCC